ACTTACAGCCCAGCTCCAGTCACTCCATGGACACAGACAAAGTTGCCTCTATCTTTTATACTATGGTCATCCCCATGCTGAACCCTGTGGTCTACAGCCTCAGGAACAAGGAGGTTAAGAGTGCTCTCAAAAAGATAGTTTTAAAGGGAAAAGTATTTCTAAGATTTTGATTTTAAAATTGTAGGATGTATAATAACTTAATATCTTGCTTCTCAGATCTGCTCCATGTGCTGAACCACATATTAAGGTGTGTATGGAAGTCAAGTTCCTGAAGTCAAATACTTACCTCCTCAAAAGTCAGTTTATTGTGTAGAAAGAAGGAAATATATCCAGAAATATAATACCTGTACAGCAATGGTGAGAGGAGTCACAAGTTGTTTTGGTTCTGGCTTATCAAAAAAATCTTATTAAGTATATTTGGTTAATTCACTTGTTCTGTATTCACTTACTCTAATCAGAACAAACTTGTGGCTGTGAACATAAATTTATGTTTATTAATTCATAAATATACTGATATGAGCACATATAAATGAGGAGAAAATTTACCAGACATAAATGAAATGTGACTAATTTTGGTAAAAAAATTTAAGTAACTGAGGTATTAGAGAATTAATTTGACTAATATTATTTATTCATTTAGTTRAGTAAGTGTAAGAATAAAATTGACATTTTACCTAGAGATTCAAAACTATTATATATTAAATGAATTAATTTTTCTGTCTTGACTGAGTCATTTTATATAACCAACCTACTCAAGTTTAATTTTCAAAATCAAAATAGCCAGATTGCCAGAAAATTGGAGGAAAATAAAAATATTTTCAACATATTCATATAAACAYCAACTTTCACACTATTCAAAAAATACACTGGATATTGATAATGCTAGACATTTTTTTCTTTCCAAATGACTTCACTTTGGTAATGATGTTCATTCATTTATACTTAGTTGAGTTACAAATCTTTTGACACTCCTCCAGTCTTCTATTTCCTCATGTTATTCTCACTGCCAACCTTGCTATTTCTTCACAACTCCAACCATGTACCACTACAAGGCTTTTGCAGTTACTGCATGGAATGYTCTTATTCCACTTGGGTCTTTTAAAATATTGCCTCACCATAGAGTCCTCCTCTAACCACCTTTATAAATCGTCATTTTCTGTTCACCATGTAAGCTGTCCCTTCTCCCTACATTTATCTTAATAATCCTTAACAACTCTCACACATTGTATCTGTTTATTTGTTCTATTGTTTATTTCTCCCACTACAATTAAAATCCTATGAGTAYGGTGGTTTTATCTGTTCCATTTACATTATTCTCAAAACTTAAATGAATGTTTGTTTCATAGTAGATTCTCAGCAAATACCTGTTAAATGAATAAAATAATTAAACTTTGAATTCAATTGTATCAATATTTTTAAATCTTTGAACATTTATGGTTATATGCTATCAGCAATAAGAAAAGCCATGTAGGTATACTTCTAGAAAAGTTCAGGAGGCACATTGATTTTTCTGTTTTGTGGCAATATTGTTATTTGCATTTCCAGCCCCTCTTTCCCTTCCCACATTTTGAAATGGTGATTTTTTTTTTTTTTGGAAATCTCCTCCTCAATTAATTCATTTGAAACTATCTCATAATTTGTATTTAGAAATGRTCTCATTAACTGACAAGTAACATGACTATTAGGTAATTGTTTAGAAAAATATGAATTATAAAATTAAAGGCTTAATACCTGATCACATTGTAAAATTACTTCATACATATAAATTAAACAAGTGAAATTATTTCAAATATTCATGAAAAACAGAGCATAACAATATCTGTYAGCTGTATCAATAACATACATTCCATATGCTAACGTAGGGAACAATATTTGTAATTTTTAATCATCAGAGAGCTCTATATAGCACAAAACCTATAAACCACAAAACSATTCAAGGGAATGGGCACTCATGTCTAATTTACATTCTCTRCACAGTACCTTTTACTACTCAGTACTTGTAAGATGAYATTTGAATGTGCTAAAGTGCTGAGGTTGGTACTTCTTATGCCGTGTGATATGACACAAATATTCACTACTGTCTGTATGGTGATCTTTCACTAGCTGTAATAACTGTCTTTTCATTTCTTTATTATAAATTTTTTTAATTGCACAAATTTACAGTATATAGTGTGTTTATCTTTTTCATAAATTACATGTACTTTTAAATGATGAATAAAAACATGAAAAGTGTACATATTAATGAGTGCCATGATGCTGTGATACATATATTCACTGTATAATGTTTAAATCAGGTTAAACACACCTCCTCCACATTTTGTCATTTCTTTATAGTATAAACATTCAAAGTCCATTCTTCTAGATTCTTGGGATGTACAGCACATCACTGTTCTGTATGGTCACCTGCTCTTGCTGTCATCTAACTGCAACTTAGTGCCCACTGATTAACCTCTCTTTCTCTCTCCCTCCTCCCCACTCACCCCAGCATCTAGTAGTTAACACTCCACTATCAATTTCTAGGAGATCAACAGTTTGGGGTTTCATATATAAATGGAATACAAGTATATCCAGTGATATGTGTCTTTCTGTGCTTTGTTTATTGTACTTATCATAATTATTGACAATTCCATCCATACTGAAAAACCCTGAAGAAACTAAGTATAGAAGTATCACACCTTAACATAAAAAAAGGCTGTGATATGACCAACCCCAGAGCCGTCATCATGTTGAATGGAGAAAACCTGAAAGCATTTCCTCTAATATCAGGAACAAGACAAAGTCCCCACTCTCACCACTCTTATACAATATCATACTCCAAATTTTAAACAGAGCCCATGAGGCTTGAAAAAGAAATAGAGGGTAGATAAATTGTAAAGTAAGTAGTAAATTATCCCTGTTTGCAGATAATATGATTCTGTGTTTAGAGGACTCTAAAGACTCCTCCAAAAGACTCTTGTAGATAATAAACAAATTCAGCAAAGTCGCAGGATAATATCAACATATAAATATTTGAAGCTGGTCCATATGCCAACTGTGAATGAGACTGAGAAATGAGTAAGGAAAACAATCCCATTCACAATTGTTCCAAAAAAGCAATACTACCTAAGAATAAACCTAATCAAGGATGTGGGAGACCACCACAATGAAAATTAAGAAAATTGCAAAACAATGAAAGAATAAATRAAGATGGAAAGATCTCCTTTATTCATGAATGGGAAGGATTAATATTGCTCATATGATCATATTGTCAACAGGAATCAATAAATCAATGAAATTACCATCAAAATACCAATGACGACAGTCTTTGAAATGTGCCGATGCACAAGAGATGCCAAATGACTACAGCAATCCCACACAGATGAAGAGCAATGCTGGAAGCATCTCAATACCTGACTTCAAATATACTATAGAGGCATAAAACAAAATAGCATAACATTGGCATACAATAGATGTGTAGATTAATGGACTAGAATAGAAGTAACAGACATAAACCCAAGAATCTACAGCCATTTGTTTCTCAACTGAGGTGACAAAAACATACATWGGATTAAAGACACCGTCTTCAAAAATTAGTGCTGGGAAAATTGTATATTCACTTGCACAATTTTGAATCTAGATCCCTAGGTCTCATCCTGTACAAAAAATCAATTCAAACTAGATCAAAAACCTTAATGTAAGATCTGAAACTCTGAAATTATGACAAGAAAACACACAGGAAAGACCCAAATTATTGATATAGGCCGATATTTCCTGGACAGGACTAATAGTTCTGGAAATAAAAGCAAGAACTGAAAAATGAGATTACACCAAGTTAAAGAGCTTTTGCATAAAGGGCAGTGGAATGTGATGGCCATCATTATCCAAAGTACATGTATGAAGACTCGAATTGGATGTCAACATACTTTATATATAAACAGATATGAAAAATTGTTCATAACTTTCCTGTGTTCATATATGAATATTCCACAAGTGACATCACATAGAGCCACAATAATGGATCCTAATAAGAATGTTATACTCCATGTATGTATAATACGTTAAAATGCATTCTACAGTCATGAATATCTTAGAACAAATAATAATAGTAACAACAACGAAGTCTAGAAAAATTTAGAGAAAAAGAAATTCTCACACATTTTTGGTGAGAATGTAAAACAGTACGAAAACTGGAAAACTGTAGAGTGAGTTGTTTCTCAGAAAATTAAAAATAGATCTACCATATGATGCAGCTATACAACATCTCAGTATATACCCAAAGGAAAGTCACCATGCAAAAGAGGTACCTGCGTGTCCATGTCTCCTGTGGACTTTTAACAATTACCAAGTTATGGAATCAGGATCTAYGTTCCATCAAAGATGAATAAGAAAATATGATAGACACATGCACAAACAGGAGTGTTATCCACCAATAAATGAAATCATGCCATTTGCAGAAAAAAAAAATGGATAGAATAAGAGATTATCATGTCAGCAAAATAAATCAGAAAGAGAAAACAAGAAATACTTGTTTTCTTTTAATGTGGAAGCCTGGGAGGTGGTGGCGGGAGACAGCCTGAAAGCAGTAGAGAGACTCTTAGGGAAGAGAAAAAGGACTGGTGAGTAAGGAGAATATAGAAGAGTAGCAGGAGTAAGATGAAAGCACGACATATGCATTTATTGAAATATCATGGTAAAAAACATAAGTTTGCATAATTAATATGCATAAATAATTAGACTTCAAAACTAACAATGTGATAGAACCACAAAAGAAACAGAACAATCAAAACAATCCTGAGCTTTGGTGGTGGGGGTTTAAAAAGTTGGAGCTATCACAATAACTGACTTCAAAATATGTAAGTTACAACTAAAACTTTGGTGATAGTTAGSAGATTATCATGTTCCTGGCATTACATGTAGACCAATGGGCCAGAACCTGGGAACTCTGAAATTAAGTCATATGTATACCCAGAGCCAATTTTTGACAAAGGTGCAAAGATCATATGGCCAAWGGAACATCCTCTTCAATAAATGGTGCTTCCAATAACTTTTTTGAATGCACTCTTGACCTCCTTGTTCCTGAGGCTATAGACCACWGGRTTCAGCATGGGGAKGACCATCGTATAAAAGACAGAGGCAAMTTTGTCYGTRTCCATGGAGTGACTGGAGCTGGGCTGTAAGTACATGAAGATAAYWGTCCCATAGAAAATGGAGACTGCAGTGARGTGGGAGGCACAGGTGGACAGAGCTTTCTGATATCCTGCAACTGAGTGCATCTTTAGGATGGTGATGAATATGAATAAGTAGGATACCAAGACGACTAGAAGGGCAAAAAGAACATTGAAGCTGGCTAAACAAGAACCAGCTCATTGACGTGTCTATCAGAGCAAGAGAGAGCCATGACTGCTGGAACATCACAGAAAAAGTGATGGACCACATTGGACTTACAGAAGGAGAGACTGAACGATTCCCCAACATGGATGGAGACATTCAGGAAACCTCCCAGGTAGCAGCCTGCAGCCAGACACGCACACACATGTGTTGTCATGGTGGTGGTGTAGTGCAGGGGCTTACACACTGCAGCATAGCGGTCATAGGCCATTGCGGCCAAKAATAAATTTTCCACACTGGCAAATCCTCCAAACAACAAGGCCTGAGCAACACAGGCATTGTAGGATATTTTGCAATTTCCTAAAATGAATTCAGCCATGACTGTGGGAGTGACCGCTGAGGAGTAACAGAAATCTGCCAGAGATAGGTTACCCAGGAAAAAGTACATGGGAGTGTGGAGACGAGAGTCCAAGARGATCAGTATGATCATCCCCAGGTTCCCAACCACATTGATGAAGTAGATGAGGATGATCATGATAAAGAGGGCCACCTGTAGTTCTGGGGCACTGGTGAGTCCTAGGAGGATGAACTCGGTCACYTCTGTTCTGTTCTCCATCAATGTTGCTGGGGAAATCAGGAGATGCACTGTAGCAGAGAGGAATAAAAATGAGGCACTGAACATAGTAGAGACTGCAGTGAGATCGGAATGTTTATGTACCATGTGCATTATTTTATTACTGTAGCCACACTATGTACTTCAAATTTCTCATCACTTAAAATGAGCTTAACAATATAATTGAGTGTATTACTTATCTCTACAGCTCCAGAATGTTGAATGAGGAGTCTACATGGATCATGTTCATGATTTATGAATTTGATATCTGTGAGAGCTTTTTGAAAATTTAGTAGGTTATACTTTACAGTGTTGGAATTAATAATTCAATCAGTTCCTGTTTTCCTGTCTTGGTGAACTCACAAATTCCTTCTGTATAGCTCATGTGTCAGGAATTTGTCTGGATTCTGGACATTATATCTATAGTCCCTGATTTCTCAATAAGTTTATGAAGTGGGACAGTTGTTAATTTAATTTAGATTGTGTGACACCAGAGGCTGAGTAATGTATGTGTGTTTATAGAAGTATTAATTGGAAAGCTTTGGTCTCATACATAATGGTTACCATGACCRATGGCCTAAATTAAACTTCAAGTGAATTGCAATTTACAGTTACTCATTGTCTCCATTGATCCAAGCTCAGTGTTTGGATTTTGCAGCAGTCACCTGAGATATATACATGGTGGAGGCGGTGAGATAACGGGGACCATGGAGACAGTTCTGGTAGGAGAGGGCACAGCATCAGTGCAGGGCTGGTCTCTGGGCAGAGGTGCACATCAACCCTACATCTACAAGTTAAGAATCACTACTATAACCTAACTTCCCTGTACCAGATTTTCTTACTTGCAAAATGAAGATGGTATTGACCCTCCCTCAAGTCATCATTGTGATAATTGAGATAATACATGAAAAACAAGTGAATGCAGAGTGTTTAAAACAACCTGAAAAGTGATATCTATACTATTATTAAAAGGATGGACTTAGGGTCTCACTGTGGTTTGAGAAAGGTGGGTACCAACATGGGGGGCTTCAAACTTGGGTCAGGTCAGTCATCTAAAAGCCTCTTCCTTAAGTTTCTTTTTCTTACTAGTCCCCCAAGTCCACTGCTATTTTRTGTGCCTTCTGTTCACACTCTGTCCATGATCTGCCCATAAARTTGAAGGCATTCCATTGAGCCCCTCTTCTGTTTAATTTCTTTGAAGTCCATATATTTTCTCTTGAGTTGAAAGTGTGTTCATTTTCTCATCACTGTAAATCTAAAGTTGAATCACAGATATTAGTGGTCAGATATTTGTATTTTCAGGGTTACTTTAGCCTGAAGATCTGTTTTGGTGGAAAACTCCAACTTTAAATTTTTTTATTTGGTGAAGTATATCAACCATGTTTTTCAAATCTTTTAATTTTGAGACATTTGAAGACACACATTTCTTCCTAACAATGATTCCCTATTATTCCCATCATTTTCTTGGCAACTTTACAAGTTCAGCCCAGGTAGGCTTTATGATTACTGATGTTAATATCCATATATTTTTAACTCAGAGTTTTCTCCAGTATGCGACAGGAGATTTAGATATAAGTACCTGTGTGACTGTGTGTGCATTTGTGCCTCTGTATATGTAGGATTTCTTTTTTTTTCTTACTATTAAGACAAATGATAACTTAAGAAKTTAAACAATATTCTAAAATTCCAAAAGTAGATTGAAAAAGATTCAAGAATCAATACTTAAACTGAGTTGAATCTTAGTTAAAAGCTCACAACTTTAGCTAYATCCCCATCAGTATTTGTAGACCTGCCGCTAGTAATAAGAATAAGAATGGGATTATGGGCAGAATGTTAAAATGAAGTTCACATTTTGCTAATTCATTAGGTCCCTTCCTGTTTAAAGAAGGGCCACTGAACTCTCTGTTTGTGCCTTTTAATCTCTAGTGAGAAACCACCAGGTTGTGAACAAATTGAAATTACCATCTATTTATTCAGAGTTTGATCTAACCTTTAAAACATATTTTTAAAAAGCAGCAAGATGATCTTTGATAAATATCACTAAATTTTGTCCTGATGACCTTTTGATATTTATACTCCAGCCTCACTTCAGTGTTTTAGAAAAACGGTCASAACCCCAACTTCTGTGCTCACGTAACTCATGGAAGCTTCAGCTGTCCCACTACCTTTCATGAACAGCAGTTTTCAATAAACTTTCACATTGATTATAGAAGCTTACTTTGCTCTTCAAACCCAAATGATAGTCAGTCCTGAACAGAGAATCTGAAACCAGAAATTCTTCCATTGAATAACACATGGTGGGAGCAGCTCTCTTGTGGGGAGTGAACAAAATATTCTAAGGTCCCATGTGGAGAAAAGACCAGTAAGCATTTGGGTCCTGAATCTACAATGTATTCTTACTGTGTCTATGGAGGACTCATCTCCTCCTGATTTGTAAAAGAAACATTACAATGTTACATCTCCTACATCATCTACAGTAGTATGCTTGCAAATAATAAAATTTAAACACAGCTAGMTTAGTGGTCATGATTTCAGAGTCAAATCAATAGAATTCAGTCTTGGGGTAWTTCTCTTGACTACAGTWGTGCACTCACAGCAAGGCACTAACAGATATTAATATRCAGATGAATTAATAATGACAGTGCATGCCATCCTCTCTCTCTAAAATAAACACCTGGCATTATGTCAGACTTCAGAGACGAATGCRTGTACATCAGCAGGGAACAATGCATACACAGAGCTCTCCTGGSATGTCCTCCCAMGAGGGAACCTTCAGTGCTTCTCTCACTTTTTAAGGAAAARAGCAATTAAACTATCTTTGGAATCAGCTGAATAGTTTAAGTGTGCACAAGTATTATTATATTATTATATTTCATTTTCAATCTTTAGTATATAAATGAAAGACCAGTAYGCACAATTGTTAATATCGAGCTTTAATTATTTTCCAAATGTATAGTAAAACTACTATCACAATCAACCATAATAAATTTTCTTAACCATGATGGTCAATTATATMACCCACCTACTGCCCTGGAAAACACCATCAATTTTTTCCTTTTGGTTTTGCCTTTTCAAGAATGTCCTAACCTAGACCTCTAGAATATATTACCTATATTTCATTCAATTAGTGTAATGCAACCAAGGACTATTCATACTATTATGTATATCAGTAATTTTCATTACGCATATTGAGTTTTATTTACATTCCCTAGTTGAGGGACATTAATGCTGTTTCCAGTTTTGGAGGTTAAAAATAAAGGACTTCTTACTTTTATTTTCCCTAAGAGTTTATTTGTTTTATTTTCTTTTATTTTGTTTTGTTTTGAAGATATGTTTCATTTAATTGAGCAAATACATAGGAAACACTGCCTCACTCGTCCTGTGAGGTCAGCGTAACCTCACAGCAAAGCTAGACCAAAAAAATTAATAAATAAAACTATAGACCAATACCCCTTTTTAATATAGTGATGTTAAAAACACTCACAGGACAAATCCATAAATTAAC